TCTCTCTCTCTCTCACACACACACACACACACACACACACACACACACACACACACACACAGGATTGCAGGGTTGGTGGGAGTAAAGTGGGCCGCTTTTCTCAGGGGATCCCAAATTCTGGGGGACGTGGTGAGTCCATATCCATCAGTCAAGTGCATCCTCGGCAGACTGTCGCGGTTCAACCTCCTGATGCATCAGTGAAAGTCGAACGAAACAGTCCGGTTGGCACACTCATGCGTGGACATATCCTTGGCATTTACGGATTCTCATTGGGTTGGAGTAGCCAGTTTGCACCAACTGGACACCTTGACTGAAGAAAGCCAGCCACACACTGTCCCCGAAGCTATTCTGTCAATCCTGTTGTTTTTCCCAACCCTGGAGCGCTGAAACTAACAGTCGCAGGCCTGCCAGTTCATCCTCGTTGGGGGCAACCATATGCATTACATGCCCACCAAGATCTCTTTGGAAGGCTCTTTCTTCTCTTTCTGTTCATCTGACAGTATGTGGATTCAAACGTGGGTCTGCATTTCAGCAGTCCAAAGGGTGTAACAACTGAGCTAGGCCTGTTGGTGGCAGGCTCTTTTGTTTTTTTTGGCACGCTCCTTTTTTGTTTGTTTTTCCCAATATTTTTTGTAACACAGCGCTACTTGTTAGTATTCCACTTTTAGGTGTTCTCTTGTGTCAACAAGTATTTTATTATTTTTTCACCTAACCACCAACCTAACAGGTATCCCGTGGTCAGACAGCTCACCCAGATGGAAGCCGGATCCTCACTCAGCACGCAAGGCAGCAGCACCCATCATCTTGTCGGGAGGGAAGACGGGTGTGTTGTTCAGGTCATAGAACCCCATCACACGCGCTGCTCTTTCACCCAGTCCCGGAAGCAGGTCTAAGAAGCATTTCTTAGCCTTCCGAGTGGGCCCCGCTGCCGCTCACTTCTCAAGCGACCAGGGTGATTGTGCCTGCAATGAACCCAGTCTGGTAGGTACTCAGAAGTCGTCAATCCACAGTAGTTTCAATATCTGCATGAAAGTCTCCAGATCATGAAATGATATCTCAAACAGTAACTCAATATCGAAAAGAGAAGAGAGTGGAGGGAGAATAGACAAAGGAGAGGAAGAGCGATCACACAGTAATAGCCCTTCAGATCCCTCTCCTTCTTCGGGCTTCTTTCCACATCACTTCATCAATGATAACAAGTATATTCTTGGTCACACACAATAGTGCCACGTGGCACTTTATCTCATGAAGACCCTGAAGTCACAGCAGATTTCCAGCGACGACGTCAAACACAGGTGAGTTCCCAATTCTCTACATCCACAGATCCCGATCTTCCTCCTCCTCGCAACCAGTCACCTCATGTAGACAGCGTGGATAATGCCACATCAGCAATCAAGACAGCTGGCATATGCCACATCATCAATGAAGACCAATAGCAGCGCCACGTAGACCAGGAGCAGCGCCACATAAACCAGAGGCAGCACCACATCAGCATGTCACGTAGACCAGAGGCAGCGCCACATATACCAGAGGCAGCGCCACGTCAGCATGCCACGTAGACCAGAGGCAGCGCCACATATACCAAAGGCAGCGCCACGTCAGCATGGCACGTAGACCAGAGGTAGCGCCACATGTACCAGAGGCAGCGCCACGTCAGCATGCCTGGCGCACTGAAGAAGTGCCAGCATGCTGACTCTACCGCGTGCCATCATCCGCAACGCCAGCGCAAAGCCAGCCTGAAGCCTGGCGTCGTGTCAAAGTCGAGCCAGCGTCAAAGCAGCATAGCAAGACTGAATGCTTGACTCGCTCGAGGCCAGCCTTAAGTAGCAGTCGTCGAGGCTGTCTAGCCTCGGGTGCCTTTCCTCCAGTCGTCCAGATTGACTGACATCTCAAGGCCCGGATTCTACAGTTGCAGACTTCTCCCTTGGACCTGATGCTGTCTGGGTACCTGCATACAAACAAATGTGTGTGCTTGACCTGCGGCCTGGGCTAGGTACCTTTGGACTTTGACTGTTGGGTGGACCGACAGTTGACCAAAGTCAACTGTCACACGCCCAGGCCCTGAATTCGTGAAGGGCCTTTTTCTGCGCTTATTTGGTCTGGGCTGAGGGCGGCCAAGTAGGCCTTCTGATGGCCCTCAATTCCACGAGACATATGGCATGGGTTATTGCATTCCTCCCGTCCCAGTTTTCGAGTTCCATCGCAGAAATTACATCAATTCCCAGTTAACCCACGTTCATATGCAGCAAAAATATCAGGAACAGTAGTTAGAAGTTCTTTCCTACTAAACCATCTAGCTTCAAATGGGGGTTGGGGCTTGAACATTACCTTGTACTGCTTCTGAGGTCGTCCTCTGCCACCTATAGAGAAATAGCCATGCTCCAATATTTTCTCAACTTCATCGCCCCCGTTCATAGAGGGTGGAACTATAGATGGTCTATTTGGGAAATCATCACTTTCTACATAAGGTAGCAGTTTAGACACATGGAAGACGGGGTATGTTCTGAGGTGTGGAGGTATATCTACACGATAGGAAGGTCCATCTTCCCCTCCAATTACTTTGAGAACCTCCCAGGGCCCATAATAGATAAGTAGCAGTTTCTGAGACACGTTCTCTTCCAAGGAAAATTCTTTAGACTTAACCCAGACAAAGTCCCCTTTTTGGAATTGTGAAGGACGACGATGTTTATTAGCTTGTTCAATCATTTGCAACTGGGTTTTTTGTATATTTCCCTTTACCTTCTTAATGTCTTCTTCATATAGAACTGCAAATTCACGCGTACCTGGGGGTAGCCTCTGAATCTGGTCCCTCGTTAAAGCATCAATGAGACGTCTAGGCTTCCAACCTAGGTGTTCTACCTGTGACAGTGTGTATACTGTTGTTATATGCACTAACAATTTTAGGCAAGTTCTCATCCCAGTCAATCTGGTCAGGACGAACATACATTCGCAAAAGTTGTTGGCAGAGACGATTCATTTGTTCAGTTTGGCCATTCGTTTCAAGATCTCTACCTGACGACATGGTCAACCTGGTTCCATAGACATCCATCAACTTTTGCCATTGCAGACTAGTGAACCGAACATCTCTATCTGATACGATGGTTTTGGGAAATCCATACTTGGAGACCCATCGCATTTGAAACTTTTGTATGATTAGTTCGGTTTTAGCTTCAAAGGACAAAGGAATGAACATGACATACTTAGAGAATCTATCGACAAATACCATTACTTGATCATTGTCGTTTCGACTCTTAGTGAGGCTCATAAAGTCAATTGAGATAGATTCACCTGGCTCACTTGGAATAGGCAGTGGTCGTAATAATCCCATCAGATTCTCATGTGGGGGTTTGTTCCTCTGACAGACAAGACAAGTCCGCACATACGTTACTACATCTTCCTTCATTCCTTTCCACTCAAAATGTTCTCGCACATCGGCATATGTCTTCTTGAAACCAAAGTGACCTTCCGCATCATGGCAAATTCTTAATTGGTTTTATGTGAGGAATACACAATCGTTCTTCGGTTTTGTCCAGCAAGAAGAGTAAGCCATCAGTCATTCGATATTCTGGAAATAACTTAGGGTTTTTTCGTAGAGTTCCAATGATAGGACTCCAAATAGGATCACTCCCATAACCCTGGCGGATTTTGTTCTTTCAGTTCACTTCCAATATCGAGATAAAATACAATAGTTCCAAAGAAATCTGCACGCCTGGACAAAGCATCCACAACCACATTAGACTTACCTTTGATGGTTTTCACCTCAACGTCAAATCAAGGAAGGCGGACCACCTTACTAACTTGTCAAAGAGTCTAGGCTGAGTCTTGATCCACTTCAANCCTTTGATGGTTTTCACCTCAACGTCAAATCAAGGAAGGCGGACCACCTTACTAACTTGTCAAAGAGTCTAGGCTGAGTCTTGATCCACTTCAACGTAGAGTGGTCAGAATAAACAGTAAAATGTCTCCCCAACAGGTAGTGCTTCCAGGTTTCTAGTGCAGCTACTAAGGCATACAGTTCCCTTTCATATGTAGAGTTGGCTACTTTTTCTAAAGGAAGTTTTCTCGACATAAACTCAACGGGTCTATATCCCTTACCGTCATCCTGCTGTAGCACAACCCCAATCCCATACTGATTGGCGTCAGTCGTGACAATGAAAGGAAGGGAAGGGTCAACAATCTTTAAGACAGGGTAGTGAGTCAAGGTATGTTTCAACTTTTTGAATGACGACTCACAATCTTTGTTCCACAACCAAGGCTTTTCCTTTTTCTGTAATCTTCTCATAGGAGAAACTCTCAAGGAGAAGTTTATGACGAACTTCCAATAATAACTAGCGAGTCATAGAAAAGACCTGAGTTCAGTGACGGTCTTAGGTTGAGGTCAATCTCTGATTGCTGTTATTTTCTTCTCTTCAGGCCTTAGTCCTTCTCCATTCACTATGTGTCCTAGGTATAATACTTCAGGCTTAGCGAATTCAGACTTCTTCGGATTCAATTTGAAGTTGCCTTCGCACAGCTTATGAAGAATCATGCGTAGGTGTTTCTCGTGATCCTCCAATGTCTTACTATACACTAGGATATCATCGAGATAGACAATTACGAATTGGTCCAACCACTGACGGAACAATTTTGAAGGTTGCAGGGGCGTTAGTCAATCCGAAAGGCATTACCACAAACTCGTAGTGACCATACCTTG